ATATAGGAAATTAAAAATTGTAGACCAATTTTGAAATGTGAAAGACATAAGATGTAGCAGAGTAAATTTTAGAAAAATATTTCTGAAATGAACATATAACATGAGATTAATAATAGATTGCACATTGTAAAAAGTTATTTACAAACTTAAATGAATATGACAATAAAAATTGTCTAAAATAAATGTGAAGAAGAGTTTACAGATCAGTCATATAATAGTTCTGTCTGTGCCAAAATCAAGAAACTTATATTCATTTAATTAGAATTCTCAAAGTAGAAGGGGGTAGGCAATGAATATTTAAATTTTCTGAATTCAGTTAAAATTATAAATAAAATAAAATAAAATTACAGCACCACATTTCCAAGAAAAATGAAACTTTTGCACAAGAAATATAAATAAAATCATACCAAGATACATAAAAATGAAATTGTTCAAAACTAATTGCAAAGAAAAAATTGTTAAAGCATATACATAGAAAAAAATATTAGCTATGGAAGAACAAATTTAAATAGTATCTTATTCCACATTACAAAAAAAGAGAGCAAATTGGTAAGAAACTAGACATGCAAAGGATTGAAAAAGTAAAATATCTGTCCTCACTGAATTTTATACTTAGCAAACATACTTTCAAAAACTAAAAGTAAAATATTTTCCAGTTATACAAACTCAAAAAATTCTAAAACCTCCAGACATAGCATATAGAAAATAACAAAGACTATAATCCAGAAGGCAAGAGAAGTTGCTGGATGGTCCTGGATATAGAATAAAGAGCTCTCAAAGTGGTGGTTATACAGGACTATGCAAAATATAATTATAAGAGGCCGGGGAGATGGCTCAGTAGGATAAGCACTTGATTGACAAACGCAAGGATCTGAGTTCAATCCCCAGTTCCGCCAAAAAGAAAAAAAATATATATATATATATATAATTATATTAGATGAACCCATTTAAAAGGTCATTGAAGATTTCCACAAAACAGTATCAATCTTATGTCAGGTCATATGCATATTTTTTCATATATATGTGTGTGTTTGTGTGTGTAAAAGACAAGAAAAAACTAATATAAAGTCAATGGAAAATGGAAATATACTTTTTAAGGTTTCTCATACTAGGAGAAAATATCATACCATGTCTTATAAGTAGATTATAAGTCAAAGAAACAGTCTAAATTATAAAACAAAAATTTAAATTATTCCAAAAATTAATTAAATATTAAGTAATTCAAAATTAAATTAAATATTTCAAAATAATATTCAAAAATTATATTGCTCATTCAATGATTCCATCATTTTTGTATTCTCTATTTTTTATCAATGTCTTCTTTAGAAGCAGTTAGTACTTCTTTCATTATAGTTATCACTTCTTTTTTTACTTCAGAAATTATTTCTGATCTAATGTCTTCTATACCTTTCTGCAGTTGTTTCTTTACTTCTGACGCTATTATTTCAGAGATCTCAGGTGTGTAATTTCCAATTTCTTCTATGCTCTTGTCTCCTGCATTTGTTCTTGGTAGGCTTGGGCCCTGAGGATGCATTTTGCTCCTTTTCTTTGTCATTTTGTATAGCATCATCTTTTTTTTTTTTTTTTTTTTTTTTTTTTTTTTTTTTTTTTCAGAACCCAGGATTGAACTCAGACCCTTGTACTTGCCAGGGAAGTGCTTATTCCACTGAGCCATCTCCCCAGCCCAGCACTGTCTTCTGACCTCTGGTGTAGAGCTTTGGTAGAGTTATTACCTTAGCGCCGGGTCCGGATCTATCAAGTTCAAACTCGTCCAGGTGAGTGTGGCTCAGGTCTGGCTTCTGTGCTGCAGTTCTTCCTGCTGCAGCCCTTGAAGGTGAAGCTGCTGTGCCACTCTGGCAAGATGTTCTGCTCCTGGATTGGCTGGGTGGGTCTTGCCTCTAGCCTCTCTGCAGGGAGTTTTGCTGCAGGGTTCCACACTGGGTCTGCTACATTTAAAAAAACTATCACACTCCCTATCTCTTGTCTTGTGGTGCTCTCCAGCTCCTTGGAACTCCGCCAACCAAAAGGCCATTCCACATGAAGCCTGTTGACCGCGGACCAGAACTGTGAGAAAAACCCGAAACCAAAACCCCCAAACACCATTTTTTCTTTATAATTTATCCATTTTGTGGTCATGTTATTGGCAACGTCAAATGGATGAGGACAGGCGGGAGCCATTTTCAAAAACAAAATGAAGTTTCTAGTTTCCTCGAGGCACAGAAAGGTGAAGGCTTCTTCCTGGGTCTTAAGGCATAGGGTCAGGCAGCGAAGAAGGGCCTCTAGTGTCCTTACCTGGTTATCTACAAACTGATTTTGATTCACTGCTCTTTTTTTTTTTTTTGTGGAACCAGGGATTGAACTCAGGCCCTTGCTCTTGCCAGGGAAGCGCTTGTTCCACTGAGCCATCTCCCCGGCCCCGATTCACTGTTCTTATTTAAGAAAACAGTCTTTAGAGATGGAATTGTGACTCTAATTTTATAAAGAAAAATTTGGAGATAATTTGGAACAGGGAAGAAATGGGACAAGCTCACCTGGGAGGGGGCAGATGGGCAGTGATGCGCCATTAACTGTGTGAAAGCGAGGCTTCTGGGAAGCAAACCTGATGCGTAATCCATGTTTGTCATTTTCTGTCGTACAAATTCTCCACTATGACCAACTAAGAACTGTTGATGCTTTAATGTGAAACCCACAATATACCTGAAGGGTTAAGGCTCTTGTGACCTGGAACAGCTGCTTTGCAAATAATTTGAGCTCTGTGTTAGCTTCTTTTTTGTCCTGAATGCCTCCTCTGACCCTCACAGGGAAAACTTAGCAGTAATTATACACAACTAGAGGAGGCAATGAAGTGGGTGTGTTAGCAAGCTTTCCATTGCTGTTACAAAATCCCTGAGCCAGACAGCTAGAAAAGGAAAGGTTTACTGGGTTCATGGTTTTGGAAGTTTCAGGCCATGTTCAGCTAGCAGAATGTACAAGGACGTGGTGGAGGAAAGCTTCCCAGCCCATGGCAGGAAACAAAGAGAGGCTGAAAGCCAGAGAGAAAGGCGCCCGGGGCAAAGTATATCCATTTAGGCCCCAGCTCCCAATAAGCTCATCAAGCTATGGGCTGGTGAAGGAGTTAATCCCCTGGTGAAGTTGGAGCTCTTATGCTCCCATTAGGGCTGCAAAGCCCTCCAGCTGGCAGCCCAGCGCTGGCCACGTGAGCTTTTGGGGAAGACATTCTCAATCCTAACCATAATGAGGTTAGGATTGATAGGAAATTTTGCATGGATATACGCTACATGGATCAACCTTTTTATTTTTATTTTCTAAATTTAATTTTTTTATTTTTGTATTTTAGGGCAGGGTCTACAGGGTGTTCAGGGTCTCACTACTAGATTGGACTCATAGTGATTCTCCTGTTTACTGCCTCCCAAGTGCTGGGATTATAGGTGTGCACCACCATGCCCAGTCTCAACTGCCATCTCAGTGTACTCTGGGGGTGGGGCCAGCATGGCAGGCCCGGGGATCAAATCCCTGGCCCCTTTGCCTGCTTTCAGGGACTTTAATCTGCTGAGCTATCAACCTTTTGGTGTTTATTTTTACTTGCATTCTAAGACTGAGAACTGACTTGAGTTGTATGAGTATTCCTTTGAACAATGCCAACACCATGCTTGTGGTAGATTTCAGTTTGCATCAGGACAGTCAAATTTCTCATATTTCTAGGAGCTTCCTTGCAGCCCTGAGAAGTGGAAGGACAAGGGATGGATTCTTTTTTTGTTTGTTTGTTTGTTTGTTTTTGAATGTGTGCAAAAGGCTTTATTCAACTACATTAACATGAGAGAGAACCATGAGGATTTACAACTGGTTTGGAGGGAAATTTGAAGTACAGGTGAAAACACAGGTAATCAGTGGTGCTAAAGGGAAGTTATGCGATTCAGGCAGAACTCAGGGACACGTAGGTGAACCCAGAGTCGTTCCACCAGACTAATGCATGTGTTCTAAGATTACAAGAGTCCTCAGAGGATGTGACAAGGCAACAGGAAGTGTTTCTCTTTCCACCACGTTAAAGCCTCCAGTCATTTCTGAAAAATGAGACCCACATTTCCAAGGCAGAGTAAATGCGTAGAAGGAGCTGATCACAAACATGATGACCGATTATGCACAAAATGGACTGTAGATCTCTGTTCAAGTAGCAATTTGCCAAAAAACAAACAAAAAACCCCAAACTCTTCTATTTCTTTTTAAAGGGTAAAAAAAAAATCAGCATTTCTAAAAGAGGGAGGATTTTCATTGAGGTAGAAAGTTTTGTTCAATGTGGATAAAGATGCAAGTACGAGACATGCCACACACACCTTCAGAGGCCAGCAGCTGGTGATGCACAGCTCAGGGTGGGTCACCGAGCAAAGGTCTGAAGAGATATTTTGAGGGGACAGAACTTAGTTGGTGACTAGCTGTTTGGAAGAATCATTCCTTAAGGTTCATCAGTATCAAGGTTTTCCCCACTTCAGTTACAAATCAGGCAGTTTGCCTTCTCAACTGGGAAGCAGTATACGATTCTCTCTCTCTCTATGTCTCTGTCTCTGTGTCCATATATCATAATATATATCATCATAATATATATATATATATATATATATATGTGTGTGTGTACATATATTTGACACTGCAGGTGCCAATGCTTGGACATTCTAAGGTGACAAAGAAATGAACATAGATATAATGCCACGGCATCTTGGAGAAGCACGTCCTCTTCATGTAAACATGTGTCCACACATGTACACACTGATGCTTGTAGCACACACGCACATCACACCACAGCATATACATGCATGTGTGTGTACACCCCCTCCCACAAATGGCACTAGCTTCTGATACACAGAGTCAGATCACAAAGCCAGTCTCAGCTTGGGCTTCTCGCGTTCATCTTTCCTTAGCTGTCAAGTGGTTGCCACCAAGGGTGGTGAGAGAGAGGCCCATGCTGGAGGTCAACGAGAGGGCCATGGTGGGGACTGTAGTCAGCAGTGTGGCCCGCAAGGAGTGGCCCTCACTCATAAGCAGGCATACCAAACATCTTGGGCTGCAGGTCCTGTAGGGAGCTCAGCACCACGGTGGCCTTGGTGGTCAAGTCGCGGCTCAGGTTTCCACGACGACCTGCATCCCTGCTGCCAGGGCTGCTTCTACCCTGTTGAGAATATCTTCAAAGATGAGGCATTGCTCTACACGTGGTGGGGGAGAGAAGCGCTTGGCACAGGCCAGGGAGATGTCCCGGTCAGGCTTCCCGCCCTTAACCTCGGGATCGTCTCTCAGCACAATGTGGTTGAGCAGACAGAAAAATTTGTGTCGGCTCGTCTTCATCTTGAAGGATGTGGTCCTTGGGCTGGTGGCCACAGTGAAGGGAACGTTGTGCTTCTGCAGGTGGTGGAGGAACTTTTCCACACCTGGCATAAGAGCCGCCGTGGGGAACAGCACCTGTGATTTCCTCTGGGGGTCCTCCACCATCTCCTCCTTGGACATGGGGAGGTGCAGCTCATCTCTTATGATCTGAGCCGCTTCTAATGCCTTTTCCCCTATCACCAGCAGCTTCACACCTCAGCTGTATTCCTTCCCGTAGTGACTACAGATTTCTTAAAACACCACTGAATATAGCAGTTCGGTTTCCAGAAGCAGGGCTGTCCACGTTAAAGATGAGTTGGGTAACGGGCTTCGGCGGGGTCGCGGGCACGGCCGCCGCCACCATGTCAGAGACTCCGCTGCAGTGGGGGAGGGCTGGATTCTTATGTGGCTCTTGTGACAGATTTTCTGTGTGCACTGAGCTGCTGTCTGTCCATGTTTGGGTTGGACTGTCTGTCTATGTTTGGCATGACAAACATATTGCTAGGGAGATGGCCAAGTGAAGGGAGGCTATGGAAGTCATTCTACAGTTTCATGAGTTGGGCATGACTACACAGTCTGTTGGTTGCAGGCCCTCTTCTGTGATGAAGTGGTGTGAGTGGCCAGCGGCTGCAACTTTAGTGACCCTACTACATGGACAAAATGAAACTGTGATGGATATTTTTTCCAGGGAAAGCTTCAATCCCTGGAGGAGGATTCAGTGCATCCTTTCCCCAAAGCTGTTGTCCCACAAGTCATATTTTGGTACTTAGAACCATTTTCAGCCTTACCTCTGGTGTTTTATGACGAACACAGAGGCAGTGTTTCTCCAGAGGAATAGAATTAAGAAGATGGAAGCTGCAGAGCAAGAAGGATTGAGGCTGAACTGAAGGGGGAAGACTGGGGATCTCTATCCTTTATGGCTTATATCTAACGTCCTGTAAAGCCTTGTGAGCTCATAGGTGCAGCCTGAGGAGGTGACTGAATCACAGGGGCCAGATGCTCACTAGTGTGTTAGTCTGCTGATGAGTTTACAGCTGAATGTGATGTTGGAAGGTGAAGCTTGGTAGGAGGTTAGGCACGGGGTGAGGCCTGGAAGTGCCTTTCTCCCGTCCTCCTCCCCAGTAAGCTGTGCCATACACACCCATACTCACTCACTCACATGGGCATACATATTGTATTGCCTACATGTGTAGCCGTCTGTAAAATCTGAGTTTGTGTGTTGATGTTCACGTGACAATGATTCTTCTATTTTTTAATTTTTTTTGTGTTTTAGTATGGGATCTACAGGGTCTTGCTATGTAGATTGGACTCATAGTGCTCTGCCTGTGTTCAACCTCCCAAGTGCTGGGATTATAGGCACGTGCCACCACATCTAGTCTCAATTGCTGCCTCAGCCCTCCCTGGGGGCCGAGCCTGCATCGCATGCCAGGGATCGAACCCTGACTGCTGTGTCTGCCTAAGCAAGCACTTAAATCTGTTGAGCTATTTGGTCAGTCCCAACAATGATTATTCTAATGAAGCCTTTCTCAGAATGCACATCCCATTATGGGGACACATGACTGTGTCTATGGAGATGTATTATAAAATTGGCTCACATGATAATGGAACCTGAAAATGGGGTCCATTGGCTGTAACTAAATGTCCCTCTGACCTCACAGGGTGGGAGCAGATGCTGTTCAAACAGAGGATTTCATCCTTTGTCTACTTTATGTCCTACCCAGACTTCTCCCAGCATTAATGATGCTCATCCACATAGATGAAGGTGGATCTTCTTCTCACAGGCTATGGGCCCAAATGCTGTTCTCTTCCAGAAATGTCTACCCAGACAGACCCAGAGAGGATGTTCCAGCAGCTCTCTGGGATTCCTTAGCCCATATGTGGTATGTGAGACTAATCATCCCAGCAGTCCTGCAGGTCCTGATAGCCCAGACCTGTTCCCAAGTTGTCAAACTCCTCTCTGTTCGTTTCCTCTCCCGTTCACATACAGACAGTACTTCCAAACTCACTGAATGTTTTCCTGGACTTAGGTGGCTCCAAATAAAAGACTTCTAATGGCTTCTGTCATGTAAGCAGCACGTCATTAACCTGGGAAGCTCCCTGTCATAGTGCTAGTGGTAGATGGTATAAAAGTTGTAAGCACAGACCCCAGTAAGTGCTCCTCTGTCTTTGTAGATTTGATGCAGCCCATACAAAGTTCCCCTCTCTCTGTCACTGTATCCCAGCTCAGTCCTTTTCAATACTGTAGTGATTACAGTGCATTGTCTTTATATAGGTATTGAACACAGGGCCTTGGCACTGAGCTCCATCCCAGCTCTTTTTTTTATTTTTTTCAAAATTTTATTGATAAACAGATAGCAATGAGACAGTTTCAAATCAAATCAGAAGTACAGTTTCAACAAATAACACACTGCATATATTCTTCTTAGTGGTTAATTGCTGTACAAGATGCAGGCTTGAGATTCCTATTTACAAACACCACTAGAACAAGTCATTCTATTCATTAAGAGAATG